AATGATCGAAAATTGCAAATACCTATGAATAGTTCAACTTAAGTCGAAATTTTTCAAAAACTACATGGTGAATAGAACATACTTATATAAACATTGGATGGACATTTTATGAATCTATGGTCATTTGTTTTAAAGTTACATAAAAAACCAAATTGATTTTGTCGAAAACTGATCGTGCGTAAAATTTCCCGTTTTTTCCTTAATTTTTAGTTTGTTTGTTACGATTATTTAGAAAAATTTTGAGAATTTTTTACTTTTGACCCCCTCTAAGTACCAATTAGATTCACCGTCCGATCGAACGAAGTACTGAAGTAAAAAATCGAAGCACTTTTACTGCCCCAAAACGTAATGACAGACACAAAAAAATAATAATAATAAAAACACACATCATAATAAAATCAATAGATTCATCGCTCCGCTCGGAATCTAAAATATACCCAAATTGAAAAAAACTATATCCGTCTAATCTACTAAACACTATAAAAGTATAAACGGAATGAGATTTAGTTTGAAAGACAAACTCCGACTGAACTGAGATACTTTAGGAAAAATATCTTTACTATTAAACACACCATTATATTATGGTCTTGCCGCTAATATTTTTGCTTCATTGTAATCCCAGAACATGCCGAAATTCATTGTTCAAATATATGTGAGATGAGAGAATAGTGATCGAGTTAACCAAGGTGTGGTCTGTTTGAAGGAAGTGGTGGTGTGGGCAAGGGATGTATAAGTCCATAAGCGAAAGAGGGGTGGAGTAATATGTTTCATTAATCAAATTTTAAGGGCACGCGGAATATAAATCGCACGGTAGCAACACCGACACGGCGACATACTACAGCAGACCGTACTCATTCGAATTCTCTCTCTATATCTTCTATCCCTCTCCACCTATCTTTCTCACTCTGTCACTCTCCCTATGTTGCTATCCGTATATATCTCTCAATGTATGTCTCCCTGTATCATCTATAGTCTTCTACCCCAAAAATATTAATGGAATTCGTCAATCTCAAAGTTTCGTTTACACCACCGACGTAATTAATTGTTACATATCGCAATACGCTATTTCTGTTGTTTCTTCATGGCTCAAGCGCATGCTCATAAGAATTC